CCCCCCCCCCCCCCCCCCCCCCCCCCCCCCAAAAAAAAAAAAAAGCGAAACAACAAGCCCAAAACCCTTAAAAGAAAAAGAAGCCGCGCCTCTAGGCCGATGGGGTCTAAGTCCACGGCCTCGTCACTGGAGGAGTCGCTGGAGGACTCACTGCTGGAGGAGCTGGCCCAGGGCAGCTTTTCGAGGGCTTGAGGGCTACAGGGCGGCTTGAAACCCTAAACCCCAAACCCTAAACCCTAAACCCCAAACCCTAAACTCTAAACCCTAAACCCTAATCCCTCCTTACGATTTCAACCTCGGAGCCCTAAAAGCCCCTACCTGCAAAAGCCGAACTTTCACCCCCCGCCCCAAAACCTTCGGATTTTAGTAAACCCTCAGCCTCAACCCTAAACCCCTCCCTCCCGACCCCCCCCCCCCACACACACACACACAGACAAAAACATATATATATATATATATATATATGCCTAGTGAAACCGGAACTCCAAAGCCCTATGCAAAGCCCAATGAACCTTACAACCCTTAGCATCCTCAACACCTTGACTCGCAAGCCCTACGCATCCTGAAAGGCCCAAAAAACTAAGCTCTAACACCCCAAAACCTATGAAACCCCAAAACCTCACAAGTTCGGTAGCGTCCTCAAATTGCAAAGACTCAAAACCGCTCTGCAGCCTTAAAACCCCAGACTTCCCCACCCTAAACCCTAAACCCAGGTTCGCACGTCTTTTTCTAAAATATCAGTTCTTGAAATGAATCAAAACGTTCTTTCATCCTATGGATCATTTCATGGATCAATAATAACCTCATGGATGACAAGAATCAAATGATATATCGTTTCTCCACATTTACGTCCAGCAGATCAACATTCTACGAAATTGCCATAAAAGGAAGAAATTTCTATGGTTCACCAAGCGGACATGCGACACATTCTTGAACCCGGGATTGACGTTCCCACGATCCTAGGCGCCGACCAACTGACGTTCTTCTTATGAGGACTCCTCTTCTGCGTCAAAGTCATTGGCGTGGAGATTCACAACTCGCTCTCGATTTCGTTTTAATCTCATTTTTGTCATTTCTTCCGCCGGGAGTACGACCACGGAAATAAGGGCGGTCGCACGGGATTCTATGGAGATGAAACATAAAGATAGGAGCACCCACGAAGCTTCTCAAGTTCAACAATTAGATTTCAAACCCATTACTTTCGAAATGATGGGAGGATACGAACTCGGAACCTAACAATTTTTGAAGATCTAAGTCAAGAATATGACAACATCTTCCATAAATTTGATAGGTCAACGAAATCACGACTTTCTATCAGTATCTCATATTCTCTAATTTTTTCGGATGGTCCAGCTCTTCATTGGCGATACGTAGAGAAATATTAAGAAATTCATTCATGAAAAGAATGAATGATTTACCTCGCGTATCTAGAGACAAGTTTTTCTTTTGAAGAGAGAGAGAGAGCTTTTGAAGAGAGAGAGAGAGATATATATATATATATTATAAATACGTGGGCATTTGGCTTGTTGCCGTCAACCGGCCACATTTATGATTTTTCACTACTCGCTGGCAATCTTTTACCTCGCGTTCGTCTTTATCGCCAGTTTTCCCAATATTGAATCAGATGGATTGGACATAAGTCTTCTTTCCCTTCAATCTTGTATTCGAGCCTCGAAATTTTGCTGAATTGGTGTTTTGGTCATCCGAAATTATGGTTCATTACTGGTTCATCATTTTGGATATTGAAGATCTGCAACGAGATTGGCGCCCACCGTCTGGCGCGCGCAATCGGCGTCGGTGAGGGCGGCAACGCCGCAGTTGTTGGTGGCCGCTCCAAAGATCGAGCTATTCGTCGCAGATGGAAGAACACCCTCCCGGTGGATGTCACCATGCGGGCCATCTTTGCTGACCTCTTCTCGGAGCCCTGAGTTTAGCACCGACATGGCCTCCGCGGCGGGCTGGGTAAACAGTCGTCCGGTTCCGGTTCGATGCCTGACATCCGTATCTGGCCCAGACGCACCTTTTCGATTCCAAACCGGGAGTCTGGGCCCCTTCCAGGCCCTTGTTTCTTGATTTCAAGGGCCGCCTGCCCCTTGCCCGGTACATAGACAAGTTGAAATAGATTTAAAGGGCTCCAAGCCTGCACCAAGGCATACCAGTCGCCTAGGAGCAATCTACGCCAGGATGTTACCTTAGCAATATGTGCAAAGAACCACTGAAAGCACAAACATGCAGAATTCCTGTAGCACTCATCTTCATGCCCTGCATGCCCTGCCAGCCAAGGTGTCTCTTGCAGCAAACACATCCATCGCAACCCCTGGGGTTCACGGTATGCGAAAGGTCGAGAGAGGTTTGACTAGACCCCATCAAACTGCAGATCTACAAAGACCACACAACAATGAGAAGTCCGAGCAAAGCAACCATCACTAATTCTGCAGCATATCAATATCAAATATGTCCTTCAAAGAAGTGCGCTGTCGAAGAACGCGTTCAACCACTTGCACAAGGGCGTGCTGAATAAATAGCTTCTGCTCTTAAGTACGTACCATGGTTCGCAACTACTACAACGAGACTGTCACAAGAAGTGTTGGGGAGCCCTAAACCCTAAACCCTAAACCCTAAACCCTAAACCCTAAACCCTAAACCCTAAACCCTAAACCCTAAGAGTAAGTCATTTGGAGCTCAGCTCCGAAGTCTACAACTTCTCATGGCACTGCGGGGCAGATCTCGAAGGCCTTCAGATTTGTACGATGGATACTTGACAGGATTTTACACGCCAGGGATCGCCAGGGGATAGGTTCTGAAGCACAGGATTAGACAAGTTAAAGTGCTTCAAGTGCATGGCTGGAACCCATCGACTTTTTCAGGCGTCACGCTTTGCAGCTCACTCAGTCTCTAAAATTCGCGGCTGTTCCGTACGCCTTGGCCTGACAGCACAGCTTTGACGCAATATGTGTCCCAAGAGTCCCAAGCAGCCCACAAGCTTTCAACGTATCGAAATCAATCATTAACCCATGACTGGAGTGTCACGTCATGTACCCTTCCCACCTCCGCCCTGAGCTGGAACCGGAAGAGGACTCCTGCAATGCTACGACGTCTTCACCAGGGTTGAAGTTTAGGTCGCGGTATGCTGGCTCAGCAACAACCGGCATTGACATCGTGGTGTGTGCACTGCAGACTGCAGAGCATCCGCGAACGTCGGACCCAGGGAGGCTAAAGACCCCACACTCCGATTCTTTTGAGGATACGTTGCCTGTGATCCAAGTGATGTTTGTTTCGACACTTTGTGATGAACAGCTTTGTAAACATGCTGGGGCCGCGATGTCTTCCAGCGCAACAACCAGGTCTTGCTCACCTCAGAGTGAAGCACGATGGAGACAAGCCAGAAGTTAGCGAAGGCACTAAAGCAGCATGCTCCGCAATGCACATGAGGCGCAAAGACTCGATGCTTGAGCGGCTGCCCCACCAGCAACAAAAATGGCTTGATTCTTCCCTTTCAAGCCCCTAGCTCCCCTAACCTATACAGAAGATAACGAAACGTAGTCTAAGCTGGACACTGCTTGCATCCTGCACCATCGCGAGGTTGCCGGTTGTAGCTAGTGGTTTTGGGGTTTGAGGGGCTTTGGGTTGGGTTGCTTGGGGTTTAAGTTGAAGGGTTGGAGGTTGCGACGTATGAAGGGCTCAATTCCGGCTCCCTCTGTCGTTCGGGTTCTCAGGTTGGGGAAGAGCATATTTACTTACTCCGAGCCCTCAGGCTCCGCGAGATGTTCTCAGGCCCTGGATTTGGGGCCCAGGCGTTGGGGGGGAGGAAGGTTTCGGCGAAGGCATTCGGGAATGGATCGGCGGGAGAGGGAATTTGCAGGCGTGCATGTCACGCCGCATGTGGTGTGCACCCCTCGAAAGGGCAGGAGCCAGCCTCGCTGAGGCTCTCCTCCTCCTCACGCTGCCGAGGAGTCGAACTCCCTGGGTCACTGAAGCCTTGGCTGCACATACCGATCCGAGCCCGGAGGCTCCAAGGCCCTACGTAACTCCCAGGTCCTAGCAAGAATGTTTAGTACTTTTATCCGGAAATTTATAGGTGATATAGGATTTCGGAACCAGGGTTGAGGAAACAAGGGCAAGAGAGAACAGCTTGGCACTCCATAGGTCCACGTTTGTGGACTTGTGCTGGTCGAAGGGCTCTCCTCGTAGGTGTAGGAGGATTCATCCTCAGCCTTGCGCCCACCTGAGATCTGGGTCCGTTACCGAGTTTCCAGTTGATCCGATCGATTCCCATCTCCAAGCACTCTAGCCAGGGCTCAGAAGGCTTTCGGGGAGGGAGTTGCTGTGTACTTTGAAGCCAACCCTAAACCCCAAACCCCAAACCCCAAACCCTAAACCCTAAACCCTAAACCCTAAACCCTAAACCCTAAACCCTAAACCCTAAACCCTAAACCCTGAACCCAAATCCTATTATGGGGATGAACCCTGAGGTCGGCGCGGCCATCCTCAACCTCGGCTGGACAACTCCGAATGCCAGGCTCCAGAGGTATTTACCGAGCTTTTACCGGGTTTAGGGTTTAGGGTTTAGGGTTTAGGGCTTGGGGCCTTCAAGGGGCGTTAAGGGGTTCAGGCTTTGCTTGGCTTTTTGTGGACTCCAGGTCTTCTTTGGCTTTGTGTGGGCTCCGGGCTTTCCGGATCTTACTAATCTAGTAATCTAGTAGTTAGAATATAAATTTCTAAATTTCTAGATTTTAGAGGCTTCAGGGAATTGGGCTTTGGGGGTGCGGCATCTTCTTCTTACCTCAACTCTGGGGGCAGTTCCTGAAAATCTTGGTTGCCGGCGGTCTGGCCATGGATACTCCTGGGCGGAGAACCCTCAAGCAATAAAACCCGTCCGTACGCCTTAAACCCTGAACCATATGGGAGTTTACGCAAATAATCAACCCTTTAATGGGAAGGATTCCCTTAGAATATGGACCCCAATATATAGGGTACCCCAAGTTTCGGAAGCCCCTATATACTCATAGGTCACAGCAGCTACAGGAGAACAAGAAGCAAGTAACTAGAGTCAGGATTTCCGATCCGGAGCTGTGGCACTGTCACGGGTCCTGAGCCACAATCCCTCCCCCTAATATTGAATATTTGCCATACACTATACTGGAACTCTCATGGTTAATGCTCGAGAGTAGGGGGCGTTTAATCTGAAAGGGAAAGGGGTTAGTTGATTCAACCCTTCTGCATACGGACCTCCAGGTAGGTAGACCCCTGCTTCGCACATATCAAAGGTCATCCAGTCCTAAAGGGCACTCAGGTTGCATTAGGTATATGCCTACTGAAACCTGCTCTTCGGTCCCCGCAGCCCTGAAAATGGGGTTTGGGGGGGGGGGGCAGGGAGTTTGGGGTTTGGAGCTTCAGCTGTTCTAAGCCAAGCGTCGCCACAGCCCCGTGCTCTGTGCTGGAAGCCGCAGTAGTCGGACCTCACCCGCAGAGCGGGTAGGGGATCAAAAAAAAATTTATTTGGGATCAAAAAAAAATATTTATTTCTAGGCGGATCAAAAAAAAACTTATTTGGGATCAAAAAATAATTTACTGAAGGCTTTGAAGGCTTCTTGCAAGCGAAGCGGAGGCCGTAAACGCGCAGAAATGCAGCAGTTCTGGCCGTTCGCAAGCTCTAAATACCGGAAAAACACAGCATTTATGCAGGAACTACTGAAAATAGCAGCATTTCTGAGTTCCCAGAGAGGCTGCAGATATTGTAAATAGCAGCAGTTCTGCGCTTTCAGAAGCTGGAAATACTGTACACTGCAGCATTTCTGAGTTTCCAGAGGCTGCAAATACTGAAAATAGCAGAATTTCTGCGATTTCAGAGGCTGGAAATACTGTAAATAGCAGCATTTCTGAGTTTGCAGAGGCTGCAAATCAATGCTGGCATCTTGGCATTAGAAGTTTCCAAAAAATGCGTATACTCTGAAGCATGTATATTATGGCATAGTATTGTATATTCTTGTATAGTATTGTATGACATTGTATATTCTTGAATATTTTTGCATATTGTCATACATATTGTTGAGTATTACTGTATTGTCGTGTGTTTTCTTGTGTTTTTGTATAATATTTTATATTTGTTGCATATTGTTGAATGTAATTGTATATTTTCAAAATTATTGTGTATTATTCTCTTTTTTGTAGATTACTGTACAGTATTGTATATTGTTGAATTTTCTTTGTATATTATTGCAGATTATTCTATATTATAGTATATTATTGTATGTTAGTGTATATTATGTCTATTATTGTATATTATTGTATACTATGTTACATTATTGTAAGTCATTGAGTTTTTTTGCTTTTCTATATTACTGTATATGTTTGTATATTTTCCAAAATTATTGTATATATTGTTGTATATTATTGAATATTTTTGTATATTATTGTATATTGTTGTCGATTATTGAATACTATTGTCAATTACTGAAAATTGTTGTAAGTTACTTTTGTTTTACGTGTATATTGCCGCCTCTTCTTGTATATACTTGAAAATTGTTGTATTTTGTGTATTGTTATATTATGCGAAAAAGTTGAAGCAAGCTTGCCGGGACTAAGAAAACAGCGGGCGGGTTGGGGGGGGGCGCAGGCCCCCCCCCCCATTGGCAAACACAACGCTCGCATCATTGGTTTGGAAAGGATATTCATATGCTTTGAAGCAAGCTTGCCCGGCTTTCAAAAACAGCGGGCCCCATTTGCAAACACAATGCTCGCATCATGGGTTTGGAAGGGATTCATACGCGTTGAACAAGCTTGCCCGGCGCCAAACAAACAATAAATATGTATTGTGTATTATGAATTTTATATAAAATCGCATTAAATAGCATTAAATATATACATATACGCTTTCTTATAACGATTTCTTATATTCTTATGATACAAAGGTATACTATACGATATTGTGTTCTATGATACTCTATTCCACTGTATAATATTATTGTACTTTGTTTTAATATATACACATACATATATATATATATATATATATCCGCCGACCCCTGCTTTAGCGGGGGAGGCGTCAGTGAAGACCCATTTGCCCTCATGCCCAAACCCCCCCCCCACCCTCACCTCCTCGACCTCACCCTTACCCTCTTAGGGGCTCCAGCGCATGCCCCCCCACCTCCCCCCTAACCTTTTACTTGGAAATGAAGTGTTTTAGGGGCTCCAGTGCATGCCCGGACCCCCCCCGCCCCCCCCGCCCGCCCCTCCCCCCCCCCGCCCACCCCGCCCACCCCGCCTTCACCTCTTGGCCCCACCCCCCCTCCCCCCACCCCCCCCGCCCTCACCCCTCACCCCCCACCTCACCCCTACCCTGACACTTGGAAATGAAGTGTGTCAGGGGTCACCCCTACCCCTTGCCATTTGCTTGGAAATGAAGTGTTTGAGGGGTTGCAGTGCATGCCCGGACCCCCCCCCCCCCCCGCCCGCCTCTGCCCCCAACCTTGGCCCCCCCCGCACTTCCCCCTTTCCCCCCCCTCACCCCGACCCCTGACCTTTTACTTGGAAATGAAGTGTGTCAGAGGTTTAGGGCATGCCCGGACCCCTACCCCCCACCTCACCCCTACCCCCGGCCTTAAATGAAGTGTTTGAGGGGCTCCAGTGCATGCCCGGACCCTTCTCACCCCTTCGCCTCTGCCCCCAACCTGACCCACCCCGCCCCCCACCCCCCCCTCACCCCTTACCCCCCACCTCACCCCTACCCCTGACCTTTTACTTGGAAATGAAGTGTGTCAGGGGTTTAGGGCATGCCCGGACCCCTACCCCTACCCCCCACCTCACCCCTACCCCTTGCCTTTTACTTGGAAATGAAGTGTTTGAGGGGCTCCAGCGCCCCCCCTCGCCCCCCCCCGCCTCACCCCTTCTCACCCCGCCTCTGCCCCCCCCCCCCCACCTCACCCCCACCCCTGACCTTTCACTTGCAAATGAAGTGTGTCAGGGGTTTAGGGCATGCCCGGACTACCCCCCACCTCACCCCTACCCCTTGCCTTTTACTTGGAAATGAAGTGTTTGAGGGTGCCCGGACCCCCCGCCCCCCCCCTGCCCCCCGCCCACCCCGCCCACCTCTGCCCCCGACCCCCCCACCCCCCCGCCATCACCGCTTACCCCCCACCTCACCCCGGTTCGGCTCTCCTGGTTAAGGGTTTTGAGGGTTTAGTAGTTTGGGGTTTAAGGGTTCAGGGTTTCGAGTTTAAGGTGTGAGGTTTAGGGTTTAAGGTTGCGCGCCAACTCCCTGCGCGTGAAGACTCAATGTTTCGCCCCCCCTGAACTCTAGAACCTATGGATATATGTAAGCGCAATGTAGGGGGTGTTTGTGTAAACCCTAGGGCCTCCTGTCGGGGTCGGCGGCATTGGCGGTAGCCACTAAATATATATTATAACATATGATGTTATGTTATGTTTGCTACAGAACTGAATATACCATAATGACCAAAAACGAATGAATACAAAATAAACTTTGACCACGGGACCGGGAAGCCACGGGACCAGAGGGCCAGAGGACCGGAGGACCGGAGGACCAGAGGACCACGTGACCAGAGGACCTTAGGAGCACAGCACCAAGCAACCAGAAGGCCAGAATACGTATGCTGTGAAGCAAGCTGGCACGACTTCTTCCTTGCTTTCTTTCAATTCTTTTGTTATTTCTTGTCTTTTTCTTTCTTTCTTGATTCCTTCCTTCCTTTTCCTTTTCCTTTTCCTTTCCTTTCCTTTCTCTCCTCTCCTCTCCTTGCCTTTCCTTTCCTTGCCTTTCCTTCCTTCCCTGCTTCCTTGCTTCCTTGCTTCCTTGCTTCCTTGTTTCCTTGCTTCCTTCCTTCCTTCCTTCCTTCCTTTCTTCCTTCCTTCCTTCCTGGCCTTCCGTCCTTTCGCCCTTCCTTCCCTCCCTCCCTCCTTTTCTCCCTCCCTCCATCCCATTTTCTCTTTCTGCGTCGGAAGAACAGAATCTTTTTTTTGATCCTAAATAAATTTTTTCTTGATCCTAAATAAATTTTTTCTTGATCCTAAATAATTTTTTTTGATCCGCATCCCCAGATCCCACGTCCTACGTCCTAGGTCTATCAAGGCCCTGTCGGAAAACACCGTCAGCCCCGAACCACAGAAGTTAGTTTTCGCGGTTCTGAGCGCTTTTGATTCTGGCAGTGGCTGCTGCCCGCCATGGGAAGTGGCATGATGACCAAATCGAGCCTTCCAAGGCGACGTGCGCGGTCTCGGCTGCAGTGTAAAGGTTGGCAGGGCTTGTGCAGGCCTCCTGCACGTACGAACGCCGCTAGCGACTCCGCCAGTGTGTTGCAATTTCAAGAATTCGCTTTTGTTGAGTCGGCTCAGAGATGATCTGAATGTGCGAAAAAGAGCAGAAAAGGTCCGCAGGCTTGGGGCAAGCTTCCAGACGACCCCTTGGAACAGAGAGAGAGAGAGGGAAGAGCGGGCTCCAGCTCGTCGATCTCAGAGCTTCCATCGCCAGACCGAGCCTCCCAGAGCTGCCCCAAATCTTCGAAGACAGCAATGAGCAATGCTGTTTTCCTGTTGCCTCTTTGTCCTGTCCCTCCCAAGATGGCCTCTGCGCGTTCTGCCGGCTTGCTTCCGGCCGGCTCGATGCCAGGCGCCCCTTCGATTCAGCAGCGGCTTCGGGGGGGTTCAGTTTCTTGAGCACCTAAAGAGCGAAACTCTGATGTTACGAGCACCCTGATGTGAAGGGCAAGGATCCTTGTGAGAGGGACGTCTCCGACTCGGACTCCGCATCGGCTGCGCTGTCGATGGAGCCTCGCGGACTCTGTCTTAATGGCAGCTACTGATTGCCGCACGCTAATGCCGAGCCCCTCTTCCAAGCCCTCGTTTTGGTTCGTTTTGGTTAGCCTCAGCAGCCTAAGACTTGAGATTCAGCCCCACACCTCGCGCTGCGTGTGCATCGATGGGGCCAGGGACCTCCTGTGCACGCAGCACCGCTCATTTTTACGCATCAAGCCTCCATGCTTTCGGAAACTGAAGAACTAAGAAGCCTAAGAATGGTGTCCTGGCTGATCCTCCGGATTGGCTCGATGGAGGACGTCTGCTCAACTCGCCCCACGATACTGGACGACGATGAAGTCGTCCTAGCGACGATGCACCAAGAACGACGTCGCCCCATCCAGCGCAGCCAACAAAGTTACCTAAACCCTAAACCCTAAACCCTAAACCCTAAACCCTAAACCCTAAACCCTAAACCCTAAACCCTAAACCCTAAGGTCCTTGGGGATGGCTGATGGCGCTCTTCTTCCAGGCAGAGCCGGGGCGCCTGGGCACCGGAGATCTCTGCGAACGCCATGTGCGACCGATGTAGGGGGTTTACGCAAATAGGGTTTAATAGGGTTTAGGTTTTGGGGTTTAATAGGGTTTAATAGGGTTTAATAGGGTTAGTAGGGTTTAATAGGGTTTAATAGGGTTTAATAGGGTTTAGGTTTGGGGTTAAATAGGGGACGCCGGATATAGTTCCACAAATAGTGAGATTCCCTTATTTGCAGGACCCCCAGAAGGTAGCCCTAATTTCGGAAACCCCCATAAGGCTGCGAGTATCGTATGACGTAAAAAGAACGTACTCAGCATGACCGTAGGATGATGGCATAATATGCCATCATTGAAGCAAGTAGAGGGTCTACGCCTCTACCACTACTTGTATCGGAAAACAGAACTCAAGTCATCGACGATCCTCGAGAAATTCCGGTTCAGCAATCGGGCTTATGGTTCAGGAACTTTTGTTTTAGCTCCTCATCCCAAGCCCCAAACCCGAAACCCTGACCCCCAAATCCTAAACCCAAAGCCCTAAGCCTAAACCCCAAACTTTAAACCCTTCAAACCCTTCAAACCCTTCAAACCCTTCAAACCCTTCAAACCCTTCAAACCCTTCAAACCCTTCAAACCCTTCAAACCCTTCAAACCCTTCAAACCCTTCAAACCCTTCAAACCCTAAACCCTAAACCGCAACCTTGGGGCCACACCGAGGCAAGGTCCGCCGGTTCTGCCCGGAACTGGAGCTCGGGGAGCTCGGCCGGCAGGTCCTTCAGAGACTTTGTCTTTGGAAAGCAGGTACGGGTTTGGGGTTTAGGGTTTGGGGTTTAGGGTTTGGGGTTTAGGGGTTTGGGGTTTAGGGTTTTAGGGGTTTAGGGGTTCAGGGTTTGGGGCTTCTTTTTGGGCTTCAAGGTTGCTACTTTGGTCAGCCTAAAGCCAGCTTCTGTGGGTGGCACACATGGAGATTTGACACGGGGTTCCGGGAGACTCCCTGGACAGGGAGATTGCGGCCCGTGCACTGCCCAGCCGAAGCTATCCAAAACCTGTAGAGCGCCCATGCGACATGCCGCACTTTCTGACGAGCAGCACGAAAAAAGGACGATACAGTAGCTATAGATGCTTTTTAACACATACCAACTGAGGAAGAGCTAGAGGAGGGTAGGTTTTGCTGTCAGACTGCAAAAAGTCCCCAAACCCGCCGGATTGATACTTGAAGGAACAAACTTCTGCTCTGGCGCACACCCCTGCCCCCGCCCCACCATTGCCCTGTTTAGGGTTTAGGGTTTAGGGTTTAGGGCTGCTCTCAGCTGCCTGGTCGATGTCGGAGGTTGCATCAATGGACTCGGACATCGCTTCCGCGGAGGGAACCTCAAGATGCAGCATGAACCGGCTGCCTCGAAGTCCTCGTTGCATCTGCAAAATACGTGCCATGCATGCGCGTGTGTATTGGGACGGGGTCAACTTGATGAGATGTGCCGCCAGAATCCCCAGTTCTCAGCCCAGAAACCCCACTCACCTGCAGCATCGTCGGCTCTGCACCTCAGGCACCGGAATTCATTGGGTCCCAAGCAGGCACTATGCGATCGGTTGCTCTTGTCGTCTTGGCAGCATCTTGCAGCCGTGCTACGACGGACAATGTCTGGATGCTCTTCCCAGTCTTCCACATCCAGCAACGACAGCTCCTTCCGGTAGAGACACGATGGAAGGCTCGAATGCTGTCAGTGCGAGGCCCAAGGCTTCTTTGGTGCCTTGTTAACATGTTCATGTCACTTGTTACGAAATCATTGATGATCAAGTGCAGGGGAGGAGAAGCAGAGTAGAGGCAGGGACGGAGAGAGACGGTGAATAGACAGATACATGGATAGAAAAAAAAACTCTAAGTGTCGACCCCTCCAAACCTTCAGCTATTTCTCTCGACTGAACTCCACAAGTTAGAACCCCACCTCCTACTTGCGCTCCTCTGGGGATGCGGGATGCTCTTCGAGCGGCTTTTCCACATCTGCATCCTGCTCATGGACTCACCAGCCGATGACGCACGCTCTTGGAGACCCCCGAAGGAGTCAGCTGGAAGGCCTCAATATGGCCACCGACGCTTCTCCGAAGATGGTTCCGAAGCTTCTTCGGAAGTTTTGTTTCAGTATGGGGATCATGAACCCTGCATGAAGGCACATTGGATGCCTTCCAAACTCTATCATTGCGACGACAAAGCAAAATTTCGAAGGATCAAATCTGACTTAGGCTTGGTAGGTATGCCTCTGAGCATCCTCCTTGTTATTGTTAGATGCCCCACTCTTGAATTGTCGGGCAACCCCCCTGCTTGACAGTCGATAACTGAAATCCGAACCTATTCCTTGGAGCACAGGAGGGTGCGCACACACACACACACACAAACACCCATGCACGCAGGCACGCAGGCGCGGTGGCACACGCGTCACTCACTATCATTCTCTCTCTCTCTCTCTCTCTCTCTCTCACTCTCTCACTCTCTCCAGACTCTCTCTCTCCAGACTCTCTCTCTGTCACTCTCTCACCCTCTCACACTTCTGACTCTCTCACTCTCTCACTCTCACGCTCCCACACTGTGTCTCTCACTCTCTCCAGACTCTCTCTCTGTCACTCTCTCACCCTCTCACACTTCTGACTCTCTGACTCTCTCACTCTCACGCTCCCACACTCTCTCTCTCTCTCTCCAGACTCTCTCTCTCTGTCACTCTCTCACCCTTTCACACTTCTGACTCTCTGACTCTCTCACGCTTCTCACTCTCTCACGCTTCTGACTCTCTGACTCTCTCATTCTCTCACTCACACACCTGCCATGACGCGACATCATGGAACCACATGCGCTAGTTGCGCACGCGAAGGCCGGAGGTCCTTCAGCTTATCGAGCATCTTGGACGGCGCAGATGGTGCCTGACGCTAAATTAACATTTCGCAAGGAAACTAGTTGGTTGTAAAGTTCACCCTCAAGCCTGATTCCCAAAAAAGCTTCTGCAAAGACAGGGAGTTGTTCTCAACTAACCATTTCCCCAATTGCACAAGACGAGGGAGCATGACATCGCCCCCGACTTGCACGCTGCTCCGTGCGAGACTGCTTTGATCTGCCAAAATATGGTTGCAACGAGGTCAAGGGCACCGATGCTGCAAACCACACGAGAAACCCGCTCGAATGTTGAACCTATTTGGCCTCAGGTGTGGTCGAGAATAAGGGAGATAATGGAAGGAGATGGGGTGGGGGGCCTCTTCATTCTCGTTTGTGCTCGAAACCTGAAACAAAGAAGGGACCCTGGCTATTCTTTGAACAGCGACATGCCGCCTCGCCGGCAGTGTCTCCACCGCCCTGGCCACATTGCGAGGATAGCTCTTCAGCAAGCAGAACCAGGTCCTGGTCCAGAGAGTTCAGGGCTTAGGGTTTTGGGCTTATTGCTGGTAGACTGTCTAGGGTCTATAGCATATTGGCTTTCTGAGCAAGAGTTTAGGGCTTGTAGGGCTTGGGGCCTTTAAGGCTTATAAGGGTTCAGGGTCTTAGAGATTCTTTAAGGCTTGTAGGGCTTCGGGCTTTGAGGGCTTATAGGGGAAGTGAATAAATGCTTGCTTTCTGGTTCCAGGTCGGAACACACCATCCTACTTCTGAGGGCGGCGGTTTTATGGGGTGGCCTTTGAAGCCTTAAGCCTGCCCCTTCGTGAACCCTAACCCCATGAACCCTAGACCCTATGAAGCCCTAACCCTAAACCCTAAAACCCTAAACCCTAAACCCTAAACCCTCAACCCTAAACCCTAAACCCAACAGGCTTTAAGAGTCCCAAGCCCCCAGGCGAGTCAAGTTGCTGCTCAGGGTCTAGGGTTGAGGGCTTATAGGGCTTAGAGGGCCTTATAGGGTTTATGGGGCATAATTACAGGGTTTATAGGGTCTTTATCATAGGGTTTGTAAAAGGGCTTAGATTAGGGTTTACAGGGTTTATAGGGCTTAGGGGTTTAGGGGGTGTGGATCGTACATCAGCTCTGCTTGCAGCGTTGGCCTCCAGCGGAGTGCTGATGGCGCCTGGCAAAGGCAATTGCCACCATGCTTCCGTGCTTCCATTCTCAGCACGGTGCACCCCTGTGCCTAACATCCAAGACCAACCCATATCAATCATATCAGGCGTGTCGTATATCACGCCCGATCCACCCACCCTCCCCCCCAAGCCCCACTGTTAGACTCTCACGCTGCCGCTTTTGCCTTGAGAGTCAGCTTCGCTGTCCTCTCGGCAGCCCAACCTTGCTTGGCGCTGGCTGAAGTTGGCAGAAGCATGGGTTCTGGAAAGGTTGGGGGCGTCAGGGTTCAGGGCGGGCAAGCGCTGCGAAGCAGGTTGGCTGAGTGAGCTGGCGCATAGCCCTTTGCTTCTGCAGGCTTTGCACCTGAGCGGCAGTCTGACCTCTGGAAGTGCGGAAGCCTTCTGAGGGTCTCCATTGCTTAAGGTACAGTAAGATGCCACAGGCTCTGATGCATTGTGGGTTTTCAGCATCGTGTCCTATGGGTCTTGTCGCCTCGCATTGAACTTTGTACCTGTCTGATGTAGAAGTGGCCAAGCTACGACATCTAAGCATCTTTGGCCCCGGGCTGGCAAACGCCGCTGTGACGGGCAAGTCCTCGCATCAATGTGCAGAACAGGGCGGAAGGCATGAATATGCGTGAATAGTGTTTGATGAGCCGATATCGAAAGATCGCCATGCGACGGGCGCTATCCCGTTTGCGAATGTTGGAAGGTTTCGCGGTATCCCGTCTTGAAAGGCTCTGAAAGCACTGACTTAGTTTCACTTGGTCATGATACATGATCACGCGATCACACCGTGACGGGCCATGATCCTTGCATGTGAATACACCCTGATTGCTGAACATGCCGGATGATGCGGCCATGCTGCTGCGCTCTACCTCGTGTATGGCACAGGGGCACAGAGGTGTGTTGCAGAATCAGCTCGCTCCTGTTCCACCTGCTGTGGCAGCGCCGGCAGATCCGCTTCTCTGGACCTGTAAGACTTGGCTACAGAAGTGCCTTGGCGGACATGCAAAACAGATCCAGACTGACATCTCCGTAGTCGAAGTTAATCATCTCCGGCCTGAGCGGCGCTTCGCTTGGTGGATTCTGCCTCGAGGAGTTCGGAACTTTCTCGGGAATCTTTTTGTCAATACGTAGCCATGATTCGCCGCGTGCAAACGTGCATTGTACACGACTGTACATGGACACACGATGAAAAGGCTACTGTGCCCGCCTCAGGGAAGGCGTCGGAACAGCTGCAGACTGGAAGGCCTGCAGCAGATTCCGCTTGAACTGCGCAACGGATCTCAACTGCGCCCCGCTGGAGTCCGGTTACGTCCGCGTGAGGCTCAGAGAAGTGTAGAGTCTAGACGCCCCCGGCAATGCCCCACACAATACCGCCTCGCTGTCTCCACCACCCCGTCCGCATTGCGACGATAGTTCTTCAGAAAGCAGACCGAGGTCCTCCAGATTCTTGCAGGGTTCTTTGGACTTGCGGCTGTCGGGCCGGGCTTTGTTGCGTTTTGGGGTGTATCGAATTTTGGGTTGAAGGTGCAGGGTTTTGGGGGTCTCTACGACATGTGGGGGAAGTCGGAAGGGGGAGGTCGAGTAGAGTATAGTCAGTGCGAGTGTGTTGGGCACAACTGGCAGTCTCCTGGCGCTGAGGGGTATTTCTCTGATAGGGCTCAGAGGATTTTTCCCTGACTCCATCGAGTCACAGCACTGCTCAGGCTTCGAAGTTCAGCTAGATGCAGTAGGGTTCGGAAATCGGAGATCGTTCGCGGAATCATCTCCACCTGCAATGTACCGCGGGCCTCCAGCGGAATGCTCATGGCGCCTGGCGAAGGCAATTGACCCGTACGCCCATTCTTCCGTACCTCCTTCCCCGGGCCTAACAATCCGAGATCCGCCGATGTCACTTACGCCCGATCCACCCACCCACCCCCCCAAGCTCCACTGTTAGACTCTCACGCTGCTGCTTTTGCCTTGAGAGTCAGCTTCGCTGTCCTCTCGGCAGCCCAACCTTGCTTGGCGCTGGCTGAAGTTGGCAGAAGCATGGGTTCTGGAAAGGTTGGGGGCGTCAGGGTTCAGGGCGGGCATGCGAAGCAGGTTGGCTGAGTGAGCTGGCGCATAGCCCTTTGCTTCTGCAGGCTTTGCACCTGAGCGGCAGTCTGACCTCTGGAAGTGCGGAAGCCTTCTGAGGGTCTCCATTGCTTAAGGTACAGTAAGATGCCACACGCTCTGATGCATTGTGGGCTTTCAGCATCATGTCCTCTATCTATATGGGTCTTGACGCGAGGCATTGAACTTTGTACCTGTCTGATGTAGAAGTGGCC